GCACAGAAGTTGGTATTTTGTGGAAGAGCCACACTTAAGAGGCCAAAGAGCCACATGTGGCTTGCGAGCCGCAGTTTGCTGACCATTGGCCTTCTTCCCCTGACTCATGTGAGGCCTCCCTAATCATGTAGACTTGGTTAGGATGCCCTATTTACATTTATAGCACTCTAAAAATTTTATGGAATGCTTTACAGTTGCACATATAGTTATTTGTGTGGTTTATTTACAAAAACATGGTTTTTTAAAATTGATTTTAGATAGAGAGGAAGGGAGAAGGATATAGAGACAGAAACATCGATGAGAGAGAGATATCCATTGCCTGCCTCCTACACACTCCCCACTGGGAATGGAGCTTGCAACTCGGGCATGTACCCTGATTGGGAATTGAACCAGAGACCTCTTGGTTCATAGGTCTATGCTCAACCACCTAGCCACACCACCTGGGCTGTTTCTTATTTAATCGCTGTTTTCCTTTCAAGCCATAAGCTCCACAACGGCAGAAACTTCTCTTCTCTGGTTTGTCATTTTCTCCCCAGTGCCAAATATAATACTTGGCACAAAGTAGTATTGAATGAATGAAACATTAGGTACCCAATATGGTATGTTTGGCTGAAAGGTAAACATATGAATCAAATAGTTGGATCAGTGCTATCCAATAGAACTTTCTTCGATGATGGGAATGCTCTAGATCTGCACTAACAGAGTAGTCACCAGCCTCATGTGATTACTGAGCACTCGAAATGTGACTAGTGGCAATTGAGAAACATAATTTTTAATCTTATTTAAGTTAAACTTAAAGTCACATGTGACTAATGGCAATATATGAGATAGTGCAATTTTTGACATCTCCAAATAGTAAGATATTGAATGGTCTATAAACTTAGCCAAGAAACATAAAGAAATTAGACATTTTTATTAAATCAAATTTATCATTTTTTCCTATTGTAGTTTCTATCGTTGCTATTATATTTAAAGTCCCTTCCCATCTTGAAATCTGTCACTGATATTTTCTTCTAATAGTGTTTGAGTTTTCTTTTACTTTCAGCTCATTATTCAGCTGGAGTGTTTTTATTTATCTTAGTTTTTGGAATATGGTATGAATTGAAAATCCAGGTTTTTTCTTTAATATTTGTCTTAGCACCATTTATTTCATAATGCTTCTTTTCCCTACTAATCTTTGATGCTTTTTTATAGCATACTAAATTTATATTTGTACTGGGGGAGTGTTCAAGATCTTTTATTCAGTTATATTAATTTGTCTACTCTTGCATCAATACTGCTTTGTTTTAATTATCATAGCTTTAAAATATTCTTTAACATCTGATAGGTCTAGCTTGCTCTCACTAGTCTGTTTTAGCTACTCTGATTCAGTTAATATAATGTCTAAATTTTTTTTCCTCATGTCAATTCATATGTGCATGTAACATATAGCTATCGTATCTTCTAACCCCCAAATCAGGATACATGATTGACACATAAAAATGTGGTTCGTATAATGTTGAGTCACTTCTTCCAAGCACAGGGTTATGTACCTTGTACATAAATGAGGTAAAAACATTTAATAGGTTTGTGATTTCAATAGTAATTAGTTTTTCTATATAAAATGTCTAAGATTTCTTTCCTTTTCTTGCATATTAATAAATAAATTCCAAGGTTATTCATTCTCTGTACTGTTTTTACTATTCAAGGAGCTCTTAGGTAGCTCCTAGACCAGCTATGTCACCCACATATTCAATGCAGCCCAATTAGTTACTAAGAGTCACAATGCATTGAATCAGAGTATAACTAAAGTCAAAGCTGCAGAAAGTAGCAGCAATACTAATGAGCATTCAAAGCTGATTAGAATGTAAAAACCCCAGCCACTCTTTAAGTATCAACTATAATATGGAGTAATCAGGTAGCAGGTACTTGAAATAACTGCTTGAATTTTTTTATTATTGAGAAGATTTTTGAAGAATTATATTTAAAAACCCAGGACTACATTTTTCCAAAAGGTTCATTTGGCACTTTCTGATTTCATTAGAATGCACACACACATGCACAAACAAGTATGCTAATATTAATCATTAGTCATAGTCAACTAAATGAATCTTGAAACTACCAAATGAAGGACATTTTATGTATTCTTAGGAATACTACTTAAACACTATAAAATGGAATTATAGAGCCAGTAAGTACACAGAAGACCTAGTATTTGGGGCAAGAAAGTTCAACTTCAAAGCCCTGTGCTCTTAACCACAAAGTTGTTTCCACATAAAATTCATAACTTATAACTTTCTAAGGTAAACTGCTAGCCAGGACAAAAAAGGAGAGAACTTACTCAATTTGGTGCTTAAATTATGATCGCTACCTTATTGATTTAAACCTCATGTTTGGGTTCAAACAACAAGATATATAATTGTCTAAGCAGTATAGAAAAGTAAGGAGTCAAATTGAATAATCTACCTCATTTTGAGCTAATATACAGAAATTAGAAAGGAAGCTTTCTTTTAATTTTATGTTTCCTTGTGTAGAAAGTAATAGGAAAGTGAGAATTTATTGTTTTAGTCTCATTCAGAGGTGATTTGAGCTGTTTTGAGGCCCAATTGTACAATGTATTAGGTGATTTTGTTTGCTTGACTAAAATAGAAGTGGTTACCTTAAGGCCTTGAAGCTGCATATGGCTTTTAAACATCATGTGCACCTTTTGAATTAAATATAAAAAATTCTACTGTGAATCATCCTGATGCTATGTCCTTTGAAAGATACAAAGTGTTACTAAAAGGTAGAGACACAAGAGGGAGCTTTAAGTAGCTAAGAACAAAGAAAACTATTTCACATTCCATATAGTGCAAGCTACACTAGCATCTGGCAGTTTGGACATGGGTACGCTGATTTAATTTGGTATAAAGTAAATGACATCAGTAAGGGAGATAACATGGTAATAGTAGTTAAGAAAACAGACTCTGAAGTCATATATCCCTGAATTGGAATCCTGGTTCTGTTGCTTTCTAGCTGTGTGACCTTGGAAAAGTCATTTACCATCCGCGTTCCAAGCACTGGTTTTTCCATCTATTAATAGGGAAAATTGTACCCATACCTCATGGAGTTGGTATGGGAATTAAATGAGATATAATGAATGCAAAGAGTTTTGAGTATTGCCTGATCATAGTAAATTTTCAATAAACAGATTTAAAAACAGTATGACCTTATATAACTCAATATTGTTTATACTAAGGATTCCTAATATTCACTCTTGGCTAGATTGGTCATCACTGTGCTAGAGGCTGGGCTATTCCTTTCTAATATGGACGTTTATAAATGACTCACCTCCATCATTGTCCAAGTTATCTCCACAAAGCATTTCCATGACAACATTGCAGCCTGTCCCACTCCAACCCACCTGACACACACAGTGCCAACCATTTTGATCCAGGGTACATCGCCCATTTCCAAAGCAGAGCCCCGGGCAGCCATCTGAAAAGACAGCAGAGAGTAATGATCATGGAGACATCAGAATGGGATTGGCCAACTATGCTGTATCTCCCTCTACAGGGAGGCATCTATCATCTGGTTTCCATTCAGATGAGGTGTTGAATAAATGGAAGAAGAGCTTGCTTGCTTACCAAAACTTCCCAGGGAACTTGTTATCCCGTACTCTGCAGTGCTTTTCCTTAGGGAGCCAATTAAGCATTATTAATGCTAACGCCAATTCCCAACCTCTGGTTCAGATACCAGGAAAACCACGATGGGGGACAAAAAATGTTTTCTGTTTCTTTTTGAAAAAATGTATCTCCTCATCTCAATCAAAACTGGATGGATGATGCTGAATGTAGTTATGGCCAATAAGCTGGGGAAAAACGGCAGTTTCCATGAAGAGAAATATCCCTTAACTACTTCAAGTCTGTGCGGATATTTTCCTTGGGATGCATAGCTTTAGGACTTAGTTACATTGGTCTACAGTTGAGACTTTACCATTGTTTGCCCATATGGTGACATAAAAACTGCTGTAGCTGCTTTACATCTATTCATTTTTTTCTCTTTAAGATCCTTATTAATCTTAGGACTAAAGATTGATTTTCTTACTTATCTGGTATCTCTCTCAGAAGCTAGCATAATATTATGCCTGTAGTAAGTACACAACAAATGTTTATGGAATTAATGCATGTTAAATTTAGACTTTCAGAATTCTAGAGAATAACTAGATAAATTTAGTCAAGAGAAAACTGTTATGTTTAAATGACTTCTATCCATTGATAAACTGCAAACATTGGCAGTGGTCTCTATTTAGACTTTTGATTTCTCAGGGATTCCCTTCTCTTTCTACCAGTAGTTCAGAGTTAGGCTATTCCAAAGGGCAACTGTGTATGTACCAAGTGCTCAGTGGGCAGATGAACAGACACAGCAATAAAGGTATAGAGCTTCTGGAAATTTTCCCAATAGCAATACCGGACCAGATCTGGATTTTACTGGAGATAGTCTAATCAATATTATTTTCATTTAATGTCTTTGTAAGAAAATTCCGTAAGTATAAAAGGCAAAAGAAAGTGTTATTTTTTGAAATCTATAGATGCAACACAGTGTTCCTTCCAAATGGTTTTCCAAGCAACTATCAACAGACCAGAGGAAGAGAAACCTTTAAAATGAATTGACAGATGGCTGCTAGAAAATATGAAAATATTATATATATAATTGTCCCTCAGTATCTGTGGGTAATTGGTTCCAGGACCTCAGGAGTACCAAAATCTGAGGATGCTCAAGTCCCTTATATTAAATGGTGTTGTATTTGTATATAATCTATGCACATCCCCCCATATACTTTAAACAATCTCCAAATTACTTATAATACCTAATAGAATGTAAATGCCATGTAAATGTTGTTATACTATATTGTTTAGGAATCAACTTTCAGAAATTTTTGTTTTCTAATACAGGGTGGGGCAAAAGTAGGTTTACAGTTGTGAATACATGAAACACAGTGTTCATTCTTGTATTATTATTTAGCAATTATTGTATTATTTTCCATACGAACAACTGCAAACTTACTTCTACTCACCCTGTATTTTCGATCTGCAGTTAGTTGAATCTGCAGATGTGGAACCCACAGATATGGAGGACCAACTATTGTGTGTGTGTGTGTGTGTGTGTGTGTGTGTGTGTGTACATACATACAGTCACCCACTGCTTAATAATAGGAGTATGTTCTGAGAAATGCATCATGAGGCAATTCTGTTGTAGAACATCATTTAGCATACTTACACAAACCTAGATGGTACAGCCTATTACTACAATTGTATCTGTTCTACTTTTATATGACTTGCAGTGCAGGTTTTTTACACCAGCATAACCACAAACATGTGAGTAATGCATGAACTATCACATTATGATGGCTATGATGTCACCAGGCAATAGGAATGTTTTGGCTCCATTATAATTTTATGGGACCATTGTTGTATATGTGTTCCAGCATCGAACCATTATAATGCAGCACATAATTGTGTGTGTGTATTCCTCAAGAACTGGTATAGGATGAACATATATAGGTTTAAGAAAGGATTTTATCCAGTTCCATTCTCATGGATCTAAAAAGGATATGAGAATTTAGGAATATTTTGGAATGTATTCAACCTTCTGAGGCTCAGGTAATAAAAGGCACCAGGATATCTGACAAAAAACTCTTAACTATCTCTATCAAAGGCAGATCATTGGGGGGCGAATGATGGAGTACTTATAGAGGGATAATTCTTCTAACCTTGCAAGGACACTATACATGGACTTAGAGCTACATTTTTATGTTAAAAAAGTTCAACTGTCTGCCTAAGCCTACTTTATTGAATAATTACCTGTATGTGTTACATGTTACACACACATACATGCACACACACACACACACAAACACACACCCCAAAAACAAGAAAAACAAGTTCTTAAAACTGTTTATCCATTCATTACTCCATTACATGATACGGCAAAAAGTGAGTCTTATTTGTTGTTAAAACAAAATACTTTATGATCTGACAATTATAGCATGAACTTGAAAATATTATACTTAGAATTGCAAAAAGCGAAAGAAAAAAAACCAAAACACCAACCCTTCCTTTCCCACATGCACATTTTTCATTTAACATATTTGTTATAAAACTACTGAGAAAAATCTTACCTCGAACAGCATCTAAGTAGTGAGCTAAAAAGGGAGGAAAAGAGTGATTAAATGAATTTCTGGGAGACCAAAGCTATACAACAAGTACTAATGGTTTACCATCTGTTGCCTGGAAGGAAAACAGAAAACTATGAACTGCAGAATGCCTGCAGCTCAAAAGTTGGTACACTGGCCCATGTAGTTTGGGCAACATATTTTCTCAGGGAAAGATATTAATGGCTTTTCTGCAAGAAACTCTATTAGGCTTCCTTTAAAAAGTTTTATATTTCATTAAAACTATAACAACTGCATTTTTACATTTTAGTAATAACTTTTGTGAAAGAGCACTAGCTAGATAGAACTTCTTAGCAACATGCTTAGAAGGAAGTTCTGAAGTAACCACCTTTAGTAATTACAATATTTAAATCCTCTTATGTGAAGCCAATAAACTTACTGTAGTGCAGGAATGTAATTACTTAAGCTGCATGTGAATCTCACCCTCACCCTCACCACTTTTTAAACGAATCTTAAATATTTTCCACAGTCACAGAACAAGACTTACTGTACCTTTAGTAGAGTAGTAATGCAGTTTATTAAGATTATATGATATATATTATCTATATTACACATTACTTTGGCAAGTTCCAACCACTATAACAAAATACCTTCACCTAAAAATGGAAGCTGGAGTACAGTGTCATGGAGGGGAAAAGCCCACAAGCAATGACTTGGGCATTCAGAACCCCATGCTTCCTTTGCTCTGCATGAATTTTCTGCGTGCTCATGGAATGCCACTGGAACACACTGTGACCCACTTTCCTTAGCTGAACAATGGGAACCGTACTTGTCCCTCTGTATTGCTGGAAACCTTTGTGGCAGATAGTATGTGTATCAAGGGCTTTGATATTTTTTCCAGAAAAATAAAGTATTTTAAAACTGAAGCCTTCATTAGTGTTAGTTTTTGATAGTGTGAAGACCACATGACAGGTTAATTATTATTACATAGGCTTTCTCACACCCACAGAAAGTTCTTCCAGGCAACATCCTGAAAATTAGTGAAATTGGTGACAAGGGATGACAGATTCAGTACAAACTCTCTATGCTATCCAATAAACAATTCAACACAGATGTTCTATTGATGGTAGGTCAGAGGTATCTTCATCATATTAATTAAAGACAGTGCGTAATGATTGAATGGCCCCTGTTGAAGTAATCCTATTTAATAAAATTGCCTCTAAGTGCTTTCAATAGAAAAACCTATACTTTTCAAAAGGAAAAGTGGGCAGTGAATGTTAACCTTCACAAAAGAACTCTTATTAACCAATGACACTTTATTCCAATGTATCACCTTTCATTTGAGTAACTCAAAGTACTTGAAAGCTAAAAGGAATACTGAAGTAACAAGAAAAGAAATGACACAAGAAATAAGTAAGATATTATCAACAAAAGAGGAAACCTCTCAGTTAATGACACTTTCAAACTATGGATAACCCTCCTTCTTCTCTCCTTCAACCTCAAATTCTATGAGAAGCCCGGTGATTGACTCACTAGACTGCTTTTCTCCAATTAATCCAATTTACTTTGTTTAAAGTATAGTGGTACTTACCAATTGTGCAGTGGTCGCCCTCCCATCCAGGGCTACACTCACATTTTCCATCTTTGCATTGGCCATGCTCAGCACAGTGAGAATGACAGGAACGTTCTTCACATGTTGGTCCTACCCAGCCTTCTTCGCATTGACAAATTCCCCTTGAGCAGACTCCATGGCTACCACATTCCATGGTACAGAGCTCTGTGGGAATTCAAAGAAGATATACTCACATATTTTATTAAAACAAAAATTTACTATGTCCAAAGACATTAGAATTACCAAATGTTACAAAGACCTCTAGCACTTGAGTGAACGTACAAGGAATTTCATTAAAAAGATAGTTAAGTCTCTAAGTATAAAATAAACTCTAAGTCAAATTGATTTTGAGAAGTTCATAAAATGATAATGACATTCAAGGCTTAGAAATGAAGTTAATGCCAAAAAAATGTCAAATGGGTTTCACTAAAAATTCATTAAGATCACAAATAATGTTGCCAGGATTTTATGATGCAAAGCAATCTTTGGGGGAAACACACACACACAATAAAATAGCACTCTAGCTTCATTCAGGAAGAGTGGTTCTACCATTGAAAAGATAACTGTCTAATCAATTTTATCATGTACAAAAGCTGCCAATGATGATAATCTACTGTTTTCCCTGATCCTACTAACAATAGATGCATTTACTTCAAGCATTTAAAATGACTCCTAATTGGTTAAAATACACAGTATTCTTATCTCAAAATATCACCCAAATTTAGTTTATATCATCAAGTTATATACTGGCTCTGTGGAGGTTCTCTCCTATGCTCTGTCCTCTTGACTTTTTGTTGAGAAATGTTGATTATTAATAAAATTATGACAGTATAGAACTCCAAATAATAGCTTGGCAAGATTTTCTTGTTGAATACCCCTACTGGAGGAGAAGAAGTGGGATAAAAGCCTAGAGAAAGAATGCAATAGGTTTTGGGCCATATATCCTTAAAGGAAAAAGAGGGAGTTCTAGAAGCCACATTATCTACCTTCCATTGTCTTAAATTCTTAAACTATGTTTATATATTAAGAATGGAAACTAAAGAAAAAAATAAACAAATGGGACTACATCAAAATAAAAAGTTCTGCACAGCATAAGAAACCATCAACAAAACAACAAGAAAGTCCACTGCATGGGAGAACATATTTGCCAATGTTATCTCCGATAAGGGTTTAATTGCCAACATTTACATGGAACTCATATAAGGAAGATAAACAACCCAATCAAAAAATGGGCAAAGGACCTAAGTAGATACTTTTCAAAAGAAGACATAAGGAAGGCCAAGAGACATATGAAAACATGCTCAAAGTCACTAATCATCTGAGAGATGCAAATCAAAACAACAATGAGGTATCATCTCACACCTGTCAGAATGACTATCATCAACAAATGACAAGTGTTGATGAGGATGCAGAGAAAAATGAACCCTTGTGCACTGCTGGTGGAAATGCAGACTGGTGCAGCCATTGTGGAGAACAGGTTGGAGTTTCCTCAAAAAACTAAAAAAAAATCGAACTCCCATTTGATGCAGTGATCCCACTTGAAGGAATATATGCCAAGAAACTAGAAACACCAATCAGAAAGGATATATGCACCCCTATGTTCATAGCAGCACAATTCACCATAGCTAAGATTTGGAAACAGCCTAAGTGCCCATCAGCAGATGC